GCTTCCCAGGGAGGCCTCCCGGTGTGTATTTCGGCGGGGGGGGGGGGGGGGGAGTTCAGATTCGGGCTCGCCAGGCGGGCATCGCGCCGAGGATGCGGGTGGGTCGAACCCCGCGAACTGCGAACGGAGGAGGAATCACAATTCGCACAACCAATTAACAGAACGGATCTACTGAAGGAGAAGGACATTCAACCCTCGCGATGTGGCTGCTCGAAAGCACAAACCCTAGGGCCGGTGGGTGATCAGCTGCCTGGGAGAATAACGAAGGGAGGAATGTCGTTTATTGTCGGTCGGTTGAGATCAATCGCTCAGGGAACTGTTTTTGAGAGAATTAACCATCTCTTCGACCGCCTGGCCGGCTCCGCCCTCGGCCCGGCCGCCAGCGTCATCATCTGGCCGGTCGCCAAGGGATGCGGCGGAAATGGCCGCCGCAGCGGCAACAGCCGCGGCAGACGCCACAGCCGGGCTGGCGGCCATGAGCATCTCGATGTCGCACAAGCGACAAGTGTCCGGGCTCATCTGGAGGAGGGTCTGTTGAGGCAGGCGCCCAGCCCGCAGGGCGGGGGCGGCACGGGGAGGGACGTCGTGGGGCAAGGGGGCGGCCGGCGGGGTCAGTGGGGAGCTGGCAATTGTGGGCGGTATTCGGGTCCCCTTCGGCGGGCTTCCCCTCCCCCCGTACCAGGTCCTCGGAGGAGGCGGTCAGCGTGGCCCCCGGCGATGGGCCACGGCACAGGTGGACATCGAACACCGGGTGCGCCAAGGCCTCGCGAGCCGACGGCCTGTCCGCCGGGTTGTACATGAACATGATGTCGATGAGGGTATTGAACTCCTTGCAATCGACCATGGTGCGCTCCGACCAGGGAGGAGGTGTCGGCAGGGGGGTGCCCAGCCTGCGGAGGTAGACATTCCGAAGGCGCTCCTACGTTGGGGAGGGGGTGTTTTTTTTCGAATCAACAACACACACACACACACACCCGAGGGTGCGAAAGGGCAACAGGGGTGCACGGCGGAGGGGACAAGGGGTCAGCTCGGGGCCCCGCGAGAGGGCGCGCGGCCCGAGGGGAGGGGGGGGGGGGGTTCACGCACAAGCAGGCCATCCATGGATGTCGCATAGTCCGGATTGAAGGTGGTCAGCTGGTGCACGTCGTCAGGCAGGCCGGAGGGACGTCGCATGTTGGTGAAGTCGTAGATGGCCCGGACTCTCGCGGCCCAGTGGGAAAAGAGGTCGGCGATTTTGAGAACCGAGCCAGTATGGTCTGGGAGCCGGTGGCGAGGGTGCGGCGAGAAAGGAGCGGTCAGTTCGGGGGAAAGCCCATTCGCCAGGCGGCCCGAGGCGAGGCGAGGCGAGGCGAGGCGAGGCGAGGCAGAAGGCGCGCACCTTTCAGGAGGAAGACCTCGCCAGTCAGCATCTCCACAATGACGCACGCCAGGGACCAGATGTCCACTGGGGCGTCGGGGAGGAGGCAAAGGCGGGGGAGGGAGGGGGGGACAAGGAAAGCCGAGGGGCGTCAGAAGTCAACAATACCCGGAGGGTGGCCCGCCAGATGGACGATGACGAACCCTTCTCGGCGTATGGCTTGCTCAGGAGAATCTCCGGGGCCCGGTAGCTCCGTGTGCCGCGGTATTCACTGGGCGAGAAGTCGTCATCCGGGCTGAGAAAGCAGGTCGAGTCGAAGTCCGAGATCTAGGGCACCACAGGAGCCAGACACACGAGTCAGAGCGGTGGACATGGGTTGCGGCAGCCAGGCACTTACACGTGCCTTAACGCGAGACAGGCAGTCGGACACCAGGATGTTTGCCGGCTTGATGTCGCGATGGAAAAACCGGTTGTCGTGGAGATGCTGGGCGGGTGCCGATCGGGGGGGGG